GGATATGGGTGAAAAAGAAGGATCTCTGTTCTCTTTTCTGTGGTATGAGGTCAGGAACATGAAAGAGCAGTTAGAACAGACAACATTACATCAGTTGGTTATTTGCTTTGTACTAAAATTATCTTCAGAGTAAACAAAATAAAAAATCAAATTTGTTTACTTACAAATATGCTTTTTGTCCTAATTTAATTTAGCATACATTCACTATGCTATGATATACATTCAGTGACCACTTTATTATTTTTTTTTCAGGTATTTTTTAAGTACACATGTCAATTGGTTGGTTCCTATCAACCTTTTTAGCAGTTTTCCTGTCAAAGGGAGGTTTGAAATGGGATTGCAATTTTTAGATCCAAAATTTCTCTTTAAAAACAGACACAACCGTTGGCAAGGTTTTCTTTTCATTATAAAAACTGCAGTTTTCAGTGATTTTTGGAAAATGCCTGGTAAAAGTGAGCCATTTGCAGTGCATATGTTGCTAGCACTCAAGGCATCAGGTGTTTTATGTGGTGCTCTGTTTTCTCAAGTTTTATAATCAATAACACTAAATTGAGACATACATTGTTTCTGTGCTGTGAGAAACTGAGGGGATGTTCCTTTGACATCTGCATGGATTTGGGTATGGGGAATTAAAAGTCTTCCCTTAAGGCCTCGTCTGTTTGGTTAAACGTGACATGGTAGCCACACTTATTTGTGTTAACGTGAGCTTTACTAAACATTTGATACCACACAAGGCAGTTTGGCAGACATGGATAAATATACACATGCAACTTAGTTGTGCAACGGAGTAATATAGAAATCAACCATTTTTGTGAAAATGTCAACCAGTTTCTGCACTCTGCCCATCATTATCTCATTTGCAAAAAATTACTTCTGGAAACATATGCTCATGCAGATAAAAATTAACGCAAAATTTCAAGAGATTTCTCTGATTCAACTTCTGTTTGAGGTTGCCAGTTTACTGGTTCATTCAGAATTTAGACACAGGTTAACTTCCAGCTTCCATCCAAATTAGCACTGGCCCAATGATGGTCCACACTTCATGACTTCATCTGGTCCACATATCACCATGGAATGGAAAAGATAAACTCAACCTAATCTAACTAACAGAAAATAGCTAAAACTCAACTATAGCGAAGCTGAATGGTTACAGTTGTGTCGCCTTTTGGCCCAAAATTTAAATGCCACATAAGCATATTAGTAGATTCGGGGCCATTTTTGTCCAGAGAGAAAATGCAGTTAAAAACTTGAGTTTATTATGTGAATAAACTCGATCATATTTGTTCAAGATATCTCTGCTATGGTAAAAGTGTGTTTATATTTTAGGTCTCTTAGCTTAAAACAGTCTATCTCTAGTTACAGGAACTGGGACTTAGGTTGAGCACAGCCTATCTCGTAATGATCCCTTTGACATCATAACATATTTCCTGTATGGTGAAAGTACAGCTAGTTCTTTGAAAATTCTCATCCATTTAATGGGATAAGTTTATTGACTTTTCCTTGCACCGTAATTTCAGTCATAAAAACACCGGTGAAACCTATGCCACTCTCCACAGATCACTATTTATCATTTTACAGCATTCTACAGAAATCCACAAAGTTATCCTAGAAAATAGGCTACTGGATTATCCCTTAGCAACCAGCTAATGAAAGAGGGAGAGAGGGAGAGAGAGAGAGGGGATATTGGATTGCTAATAAAATACAGTAATATTAGATTTTAATTCTCATGAACAACTAGTCTAATATATTTGTGTCTCTAAGGACATTGTGGATAGCCTGGCTTGTTGAAATGCAACCCATACAAACCTTTATTTCAAACCCATGTGGCATAATGAAAGTCAACAATTTGTTGTTAAATCTCAAAAGGGACTGCATGTCAGTGCACTGAATGCCTCAACTCCCAAAACTTGATATTGGTAATGAAAAAAATCTAATTCTAAAAATGTCACTTGTGCCAAATTGAATTACATTATCCAGAGTCCTGTTATACAATAACTATAATGTCTTGTTATTGGATGAGTCATACTTTATGGAATAACTAGGTGAGTAATGCATAAAATTAAAATAGAAGCCAAGACACATGAAAGTCCACTTGTAATTTGCGAAAAATTACAATTACAATTTCATATTTTCATGCTTTCATGTCTGCCCACTCTGCCATAAAGCTAAGACTGGTGAAGTGTTGACCTTCTGCAAGTTTCTCCATCTCCACACATGATCTCTGGAACTCAACCAGAGTGACCACTGGGTTCTTGGTCACCTCTCTTACCAAGCCCCATCTCCCCTGATCGCTCAGTTTGGCCAGGAAGACAGCTCTAGGAAGAGTCCTGGTTGTTCCAAACTTCTTCCATATAAGAATTATGGAGGCCACTGTACTCTTGAGAACCTTCAATGCAGCAGAATGTTTTTGTGCCCCAGATTTGTGCCTCAACACAGTCCTGTCTCTGAGCTCTGCAGCCAGTTCCTTTGACCTCATGGCTTGGTTTTTTGCTCTGATACACATTTTCAGTTGTTAGACCTTATAGAGACAGATCTGTGCCTTTCCAAATCATGTCCAATCAATTGAATTTGCCACATGTGGACACCAAACAAAGTGTAGATACATCTCAAAGATGATCCAGAGAAATTTCAAGTGTCATAGCAAAGGGTCTGAATACTTATATCAGTGTGATATTTCAGTTTTTTTTCTTTTTAATAAAATTGCAAAGTTATCACAAATCTGCTTTTTGCTTTGTCATTATGGATTATGGAGTGTAGATTGAAGTGAGAAAAAAATGAAAGCATTTTAGCATAAGAGTGCATCATAACAAAATGTGAAAAAAATGAAGCGGTCTGAACACTTTCGGAAGGCACTGTATAACAGAGGTTGTTAAGGATCTTAAATAACCCTTAATCGTGCTGTCATTTGCTTCACTGATACAAATGTTATCGTTTATTTGCTTGTTTGTTTATAGTTAGATTTTTTTTCTTCCACATTTTAACGATAACCCAATAACTGGCTACTGGCTATGACTCCATTCTCCTCTGGACAAAACTGAATAATAATAAAATTGATAACAATGTTTTCTAGTCATACAACATACCAACAAACAATGACAATGTACAGACTTCCCTATTTCGTTTTGTTTTTGCTTGGTTAAAAACAAACTTGTTTGCTCACGCAACAGGACCGTTTGCCACATGCACAAACTCTCTCTGCTTGCTGTTGATGGATATTTCTGTTATGTGAACATGGATTTGGTTATAGAAAATTTAAAGTCTTCATAAAGTCCTCATCTGATTTACTAAATGTAATGCGGCAGATGTGCTCATTTGTGCTCTTCTAGCTTCACTGAAGAATAAGTGTTGATCGATAATGGTATATATATATATATATATATATATATATATATATATATTTATATTTGAATATAGTATCCAATAAAATTAAAGTAGGAAAAATCAGTATAGTTTGCTTATTATTATTATTATTTACAGTACAAAAAGATGTAACAGTAAAAGTAAAATGTATTTGCGGAGTTATTCACCCCATTGCTGTGAAACCCCTATCTAAGTTCCAGTGCAACTAGCTGCCATCAGAAATCATTGAAATAATTACTGAATTTTTCAGTGATCTCAATATAAGTACACCTGTTCTGGTTTGTTAAAGAACATACCTAAAAAACAAACAAAAAACAGCATGATGAAGACAAAAGAGCTATCAAAACAAGTGTGGCACAAAGTTCTGGAAAAGTATTGATTATATAAAAAAAAATCCCCAAATTCATCCCATGGAGCATCATTAAATTCATTATTAAAATATGGAAAAATAATGCACAAGCACAACTATGCCTAGAGAAGGCAATCTACGAAATGTCAGAGGACCAGATAAAGAGGACATTATTCAGAGAAGCAACCAAGAGGCCAAGGATAACTTTGAAAGAGCTGGAAAAATCTACGGCTCAGACAGGAGAAGCCCTAACACTCCACAAAGCTGGGTAATTTATGGACCAGTGGAACGAGGAGAAAAAAAAAAGCCATGTGGGCTTGCTTAAAAAAACATGCTGAACCCCATCCCACCATGCTGTGGCAAAGCTTTAATAGGATAATACGGCCTGGGAAATTGATCAAGGTTGATAGCAAGATGAATGGAGCCAATCCTAGAAAGAATCTGAAAGAGACTAGGGTGGCAGTTCACCTGCCACCAGGACAATGATCCTAAGTTGCCACCAAAGTTACACTCGAGTATTTCAGTACAACTTGAATGTGCTATTGGCTCAGTCAAAGCCCAGACTTCAAACCATTTGAAAATCTGTGGCAAGACTTGAAAACTACTGTTCACCATCTGTCTCCATCCAATCTGAGCTTCGGGTCGGGGAGCTGGGTTTGTTCACAAAAAAAAAAAAATGAAGTGGAAGAAATCCCAATTACATTTATTTCAATTCCAAGTTGTAACAATACAATTTGTTAAAAGGTTCAAAGGTAGAGAAGTCTTATGCAAGGCATTGTATGTCATTGTGTGTCCCTCCTTACCTCCCCTTTCATTACATATAGAGAGTCAGTCAGTAAATTGGAAATAGAAAACACAGCACCAGCCAGTGTTGAAGATTGTATGTTTAAACTAGTGATGAAAAAACCCTTTGCCTGCACCAGTAAATCTGAATGCACATGCCCAAAATTCCATAAACTAGTTGCACTGAAATCCTGTAGCATAATTTTAAGGTAGATTTTTAATAATATAATAAACGCTAAATGTCAGCCTTTACTGAAAAATAGAGAATATCAGCTATCAAATATGACATATCTACTATACGTATCACATAATATTTTTCACAAATGTTGTTTTCTCTTACAGCTGCTCCCATTAGGGGTTGCCACAGCAGATCACGGGTCCACCTATTTGATTTGGCACAGTTTTTACACCAGATGCCCTTCCTTACACAACCCTCCACAATTTTATCTGGGCTTGGGACCGGCACTGAGAGTGCACTGTTGCACGCAAACCCAGTGGCTCGGGTTGGTTCCCTGGCCGGCAGTTGAACCCAGGTTGCAGCGGTGAGAGAGCTGTGGCCTAACCACTAGTCTTCCAGGGACCCATTTTTCAGAAATGTATTTTAGTTTATATATGATTATATGCTTACCTTGTCGTTTATGATTTGTTGTACTGTAGCAAATCTTAGGAGCACAGAGACAAGGCCATTAAGCTTAGACTCTTGGCCTTTCTTCCAGATTACATTAGGTGTAACCTTGAGGTTTAGACTAGAATAACACAAAGATTTATGGTGTGGAAAGAGCTTGCCTTGACCTGAAGGGTTTGAAGTCTTAACACTAGCTATAAAAAAGTGTATAACATTTGTCTCTGGCCCTGGCAGAGTGGGATAAAGGAGAGAGAAAGGGAGAGAGTTCAAACACGGGATAGAGTATTATTGGCTAATAAGAGTGACTATACATATAACTAGGGAGCACTGATAACAAAAGGGGTAGTAATACACTGAAAATCCTATCTACTCTACCCTGTTACCCTGGATAGCATATGAAGGAAGTTTCAGAAAATTATGATGTCAAACAAAATTACAGTGAAGGTAACAAAGTGAATCCTATGAGCTCAAAACAAGGCAACCGTGTCTATCGGTGCTGGCTAATCATGTCATTTAATTCTAATTTGAATTTCTTCTTTGTTATAAAGAATGTCCCACAACCAATCAAATACCTGTAGGCACTCCAGCCCTTGCGAGAAACTCAAATCCACACTCTCCCTCTTTACATTTCTCTCAATTAGATCTCCTTACACTGTGTCTTTTTTAATGTTTAGCATACTTTCCCATGTAATCATTAAAGATTATGGTATGATAACATGTCTTTAATGACTATTCTCTAATACCATAATCCATGTACTTCAGGTAAATTACATCACATGATCACAAATATATAAGTCAAAATTACACTGTCATAAAGTGTTCCATTTAATTTAAGGACTACACATTTCACATGTTTTCATCATTTGAAGGAGGAATGGTGTGAGATTCTATAGGCCCTCAGCCCTCTGTCACATATACACTCGCAGTCATAAGATACACTATAATGAATATATGTGTCTCATTGTTTTGAAAACATTCCGATAAAGGCATTGTTTGAAATTTGTTTCTAAGGCACATGTAAATATTTAAACGAATGTGCATGCATAAATCTTTCTGAATCAAAATTTCGGAAGTAGATTTTAGTAGCTAATTAAGTACTTAATAGGTAAGTACTTGTTAAGTGAGTTGTTAACTATGTTAAAATAATTGGTTTCCGTAAACCGGTAGTTTTCAACTGCTATTTTGGGAACTTTAAGAAAAGCCTCCTAGGTGACTCCCTCATGAAACTGGGTAATAAGATGCAAAGACTGTGCAAATTTGAAATACAGTTAATTCAGAACTGTTAATAAGTTTGTTTGGGTTAACATTTGTTTTTCTTGGTCATTGCATAATATCATATGCGTTCTCTTATACTGTATTCATTATAATAATATATTCATGTGTATTCTAGAATAGTAGTAAATAGTAAAAATGAAGAAAACCCTTCTATGAGCAAGTGTCCATTTTCGCTTACACACACACACACACACACACACACACACACACACACACACACACACATTCTCTCTTCTCTCTCACACTCTCAGAGACACATAGTTAGCACTTAAGAGTGAAAGGGTATGTAGATGTTTGAACATCCCATCTCTTAGCGATATTTCATGTCTTGGTTCAAAATTGCATTATCAGTTAAAAAAAAATGGTCCAAAGTTTATTCAGTTCTGATCTCACTGACAAGCAGACAGAGAGAATAGAGCCAGTACAAGAGAAATCCCATCAGCATATAATGTTTGTTTTATTGTCTTTCTCAAAGGCCTAAGTTTACTTCACCCACGCAACCACTTTTCACCCATTAAACTATTTTCTCATGGAAAAAGATCAACAATTCCTGCCATGTACCCTACCAAAACAGTCTTAAAATGTCTCCCATTAGTTGTAGATGCATATAAAATGGGGTCACATTAACCCAGACAGGCAAGTAGCATCTATATTAGGAAAGTTGGAGAAATGTTTGATTTGATCTGAAAACAGACATTCCTAACTACGGTCCCTGAGTCCCTGCAGATTTAAGTTTTCCCTGCCAATTAAACAAAATTGTATTTATATCACATATATGGCATGCTGCTCAGTGCAGACGTTTAGTGGAGTAGGTCTAGCAAAAAGTTTTTGCCTTAGTTTATGTGTGCATCAACAGTAAAACTTGCTAATTTCCAATGTGGCTTTTTGTAAGAACATTCACTGTTGTGGCAAATAAAACTAACAAAAGTAGCATTTCATCTGATTAATTTTAGGTAGCATCAAAATACCTGGTTACATTACATTCAGCAGACACCCTTATCCAGAGCAATTTACAATTATCTCATTCATACAACTGAGCAGTTGAGGGCCCAGCAGGGGCAGTTTGGTGGTGCTGGGATTTGAACTCTCAACCTTCTGATCAGAAGGCCAATGTCTTTACCACTGAGCTACCAACAGGCTTGTATACATGTTTTCAAAGGAAAGTATAATACAGACATCCATTCCATTTCAATGAATCATCAGAAAGATGGCCTTTGCATTGCCTAGATGGGAGCACCAACTTTATTTCTCCTCTAGTCTTCATAACAGACAACAGGGTTGCTGGGAAACTGTTCTTGATAGTGAGTTGAGTTGTGTTATTCCTCTTGTAAATGTCATGATTTTATAGAGTGAATGGATCTTTTCTTTGTAGAGCACCATTTCTCAGCAGATACTTACTCCTTAATTCCTAAAGCAGTTTGAATTATTCTAGCAGTATAACAGAGGAAAACTGCTCTTCACTGGGATGATCCATGTAACTTCAGGTAAGCATCCAGTATCTGGTGCAGGATTCAAGGTTTTAAGGGATTTTTGTGGCTAATTTAACACATCCAGTAACAAAGTTGTATTTGTGTGGTAATCCTGTTAAGACCACAAATTCTTATAATCTTCAGATTATAATCTTCAGGGTAAACAGATACCATTTGAAAGTGGGAAAATCCTTCACTTCATACAGTGCACTTCAGTGTTTGTACTTTTAGTATGTATCTTTTACCTGGGAAGGTATATGTACTATACCTTTATGGCTTTACTCTAAAAACTAATTAAAGGTTTAACACTGCTCCTTAATGTCCAATTATGCATCGTAAATCAATTGCACTATACTACGCTACGCTATGTACACTACATTCACATTTCCAGGTAAAAGATGCACACTTAACGTACAACAGATGTACGCTTGGGGGTATCACTAGTTCCATTTTTGTTAGAACTTTGTAGACCTACAATTTTCTTTGCTCTGTAAAGATCAGTTTTGCATGTTAAAATTAACATAAGGAGATAAGCATAAGGGATGAACAGTAGGCCATTGCATGATTTCTTTGCATTAAGCAAGTGTGATATTCTAAATTATGTGTGTGGCAAAGAGTTCAAATCAAAATACATACATACTTTAATGTAGGCCTTGCATGCCATACAGACACCATGTATGTATTTTTAAACATACAAAACATACTAGTCAATATTTTCTTCAAATTGTCAGGGAGATATATAGGTTTGCAGCAGCCTGAACATATACTGGATTTCATAAGCTCTACCACAGTACATATTTTGACATGCCATAATTCTCTATGATTGTCTACCCTGTGTTGGTTAAGCTTCTTATATGATACTGCCATTCAAAGTAAAGCACTGTAAAGCACATAGAAATATAAAGTTTGCATTGGTTACATTATGAATGGTGTTTTATCTGTTCATGATGTTAGTGTCTAATAAAAGCTAGAATTGGATTTCTCAGTTTAACTGGGAGCATAGTAGAGAGTTCGCAATGTTCAGTCCAGTTTTAGATTGTATTCTTAATTTCCAACAGTATTAAAAGGACACAGATGTTAGCCATAGTCTAAAACCTCATAGTAAGACAACTCAAACAATTTAAACAAAGTAAAATTGTGTAATATTGTAATACTGGTTTAAGTATTACAATTAAGTTTATTAATATATCTGTGTGTGTGTGTGTGTGTGTGTGTGTGTGTGTGTGTGTTGCACCACTCCTCAGACAAAGCTAAACAACGCAGTCCTTCTGGGAATCTGTGGTTAGGCATTCAGGAACAGTTCCTAAACCTGGTGCTGCATTTCTGATGGGAAGATTCTGTCCTGCTCAGTATTCCGAGGGATAATTTATGACCTCAGTCACATCGTTCAGATGTCATTTCCAGCATCATTGATCCATTGTCACTTGTAACACTATGCCAGTACATAGTGGTTCAAACAGGAACCAACTAAGCTATGAGGAGAGGGAGAGGATTGAGTACAGAGGGGCTCTTTTCATCTCTTTGTTTGGGAAATTAATGTCAGGGTGCTGTAATTGTTAGACAATTTAATAGGGTAGTTAAAAACCATATCAACATTATGACCTCAAAAATGACCACAGAATTAAATCACCACCTCAGATCCAGTCTGAACAAAATATATATATATATATATATATATATATATATATATATATATATATATATATATATATATATATATATATATATCAGTGAATGAAAGAATTTATGTCAAGACCAACTATTTGTATTCAAAGAAATAGCCATGTAACCAAATTCATACGGTAATATGAAGGGGAAACTTGTAGTAGTAGTATGATAGTATGATGAATTGTCAAGCATCATTTTCCTTTCATCATTTTACTTTTGATAAAAGCAAAAGAAGGCCTTTAATTTACAGTGTCTAAGGTCCTCTGGGAAACATGGTCATACATCTCATGTGAGTCATTAGGTCTGATGACTGCTCTGCATGATTACATAACAGCCAAGGAGTATGAAGCCATTTTACAGGACCAGGTGCACTGCATAATGTAAACACTGTTCCCATAATGTTCCCATATTCCCATGAGATCATATTTCAAGTTAATAATGCCCTCATGTAATTCCTGCAAAGTGTGATGTCAGGAGTGCTGGTATGAAGTTAAGCTCCAAGTTAATAATGTCACAAGTACCAGATCTAAACATGTTTAAGTG